AAAGTAAAAGAAGGTTACAGCAGGATCGCCACTGGCTTCTATTCTGAGCCATATCTGATAACGTCTCTAGCCACTGTGTCACACCATCTCTCGGACCCCAACCAGGGAGTCGTGAAGGACCAACAGAAGCCATTCCTTTGCAGCTTTCTTTCATGCCACGACACCATGTCATGCACTGGCCACCTCTCCGCTTCTTCCAACCAGTCCCAGAGTCGGCAAATAATGCACGGCGTGGAATTCTCTGGGACGACATTCGGAGAACATGATAATAATAACAATAATGACAATAATAGTAGTAATAATAATATTAGTATTAATAATGACAATAATTGTAATGATAATAATCTGAATCAATTGATTGATTTTCAAAGCGAGAAAGGTAATTTCCATAGACATAGAAAGTTCATCATTTGTGTGTGGGCTGTGATACTGCCCGGGTGCTCAAACCGAAGCAGGTGGTCATCTTAGGGGGCCACACCCCGAGCCTTTGACCTAAAGATCGAACCCACAAGGCAGTGTAGCATCGTAAGGAGATGCAATCCAATTGTAGCCGGTGACCGAAAATTGGTTCGATATTAAGACTTTCCAAAGACATAGCCAGCCCTATCTGTTGTCCAACCTGTATAAGTGTGCGAACGTTGAAGGCAGCCAGTTAGAATGGTGCACGTGGTTTCAGAAAAACTGCTTCAGTACTCATATTCGATGGTAACATACAATTTTCAACCGGGCAGTGACTCGAGAACGTTTAGATAGAGTCGAATTTCCACCGAAGACGAGCTGCTGTGTAAACTGAAAAAATAAGTATAGACGGAGTAGGAATAAAAGAGGGTGAATAATGATGTAGTGAATAATAATAACAATAATAGTAATGATAATAATTTGGATCATTTGACTGTTATTTGGAGCGAGAAATGTAGGTTCCATTGATATAGAGAGTTCATCATTTGCGTGTGGGCTGTGATACTGCCCGGGTGCCCAGACCGAAGCAGGTGGTTATAATACTAGATTATAATACTAGATTACGTAATATGAATAATAACAATAACAATAGATTTAGTGATTATAATAAGATGATTAAAATGTTTTAGATATAATAATTAAAGGTCAAAGAGGTGTACAAAAATAAACTGATATGATGAGCGTTCATTAATAAAACAATGAGAATATAAGACATAAGTAAAGGGGGAATGCAGTAGTAATAATAATAATAATAATAATAATAATAGGATAATCAAACTAATTAAGGCCAAGGTAACGGTAACGATAAGACGTACTTCTTTTGTACGCATAGTTCTGGTTTAAGCTCCTGGATGGCAAGAGCTTCGGCTATTTTTAAAAGTTGGATACGAAGAAATCTGGGTAGATTTGAACGAATCATATAAACAACCTTAAAGTCAATTTGTGGATCTGTTGAATGGTTATAGTCGATTAGGTGTTCAAGTATAGAACTCCTAACTGCTTTCCTTTCACCCTTATAGAACCAGGCTGGGATATGTTCTCGTATCCGAGTTGAAAGCGAGCGCTGGCTACGGCCAATGTACCTTGCTCCACAAGAGCAGGTGAACTGGTAGATGCACATGGAGGCGACCAGACGCGGAAGCTTATCTTTTATGGATACAGAAAATAAGCTTCTACTAGTGAAGGATATTCGCAGTTTTGCCGCGTTAAATGTTCTTCTAATAGTTGTTGTTAGACGGTTTTTGATTACATCCGATGTTCGGTCACCTTTAAATTCCAGACTTATATAAAGGTTTTTCTTTGGAACGGAACAACTAGAATTCTTCTCGCGACTACTTTTATTCATATTCTTTTCTATGAACCGTTCTGGGTAACCATTTTCCGTCAAAGTCTTCTTCAGGAATGCGAGTTCTTCGTTAATGCATTCCGTACTGCGTATGTGATGTATGCGATGGCATAAAGAATGGATAAGGTTTCTCTTCCTACTTAACGGAACCCAGCTATAGAAGTTGGTTAGCTGGCCATTCCATGTTTGTTTTCTAAAGATGGATCTTTTTAAAGAACCATTACTCTTTCTCATCAGACGTACATCGAGAAAAGGAATTGATTGGTCTTGTTCCCTTTCTAACGTGAAGTCTATGGAAGGGTGGCACGAGTTAAAGGTGTGTAGAATATCATCTAAATCAATATTATTGTCACAAACAACAAACGTGTCGTCCATGTATCTCACGTATAGGTGGAATCGATTGATCATTGGACGGAGTTGGTTGTTTTCTACTTTTGCCATGAAACAGTCTGCTAAAATTGGACCCAATGGAGACCCCATTGCGATCCCATCCCTTTGTCTATATATTTCATTATTGAAACTGAACTGGACATTAAAAGTACAGCGTAGCAATAATTCTTTCAAGTGTTCAGTTGGCAAACCTAGATCTATATTGTTAGAATCAATATACTCACATATATAACATATTGTTTCGGTTAAAGGTACGTTAGTGAACAAAGAATTAACGTCAAGAGAGAACATGTGTTTTTCGGAAGTATTAACGTCCTTAATACGATCAATAAATTGAAAAGTATCATGAATAGAATGTTTACATACTTGCCTTCTGACCGGTTCCAATTTTTCCGCTAACCATTTGGCGATTCTGTGGTATGGTGAATCCGACATATCCGAAATAGGTCGTAACGGTAAACCCGGCTTATGTATTTTCGGTAGTCCATATAGGCGCGGGATGACTGAACCCATGGGACGCATGTGATTATATAAATCTTGGGTTATTATCCCCTTATTCTTAAGATTTTTAACAACATCTGTTAGCTGTTTTTCGATTTGTAATGTTTTATCAACTTCTTTAGGTTTGGAGAATTTAGTATCATCCTCTAGAATTAACTTCATTTTATCCAAATATTCTTTGCGGTCAAGTAAAACTACACCAGCTTCTTTGTCAAGTTTACTTAGGATTAAATCCTTATTTCTTTTCAACAGTAATAGCTGATCCAAGTGGTTCTTAGTTAATAGGCTATTCTTACTACAATGTGCATTAACGAATCCATGACTGCAGTCCAGTAATGTGGACTTAAAGTGCTGGAGATTTTGTGGAGATGTCGGCATAAGATTCGTTGGACAGGTAATCTCAAGCTACTTAAATGACTTAGTCCACTTGTTACTGACTTAATGGACTAGTGCCACATCTTGGTTTAGCCACTTTTAGCTTACTGAAATCAACTCTTAAACTAGACAATATTCCCCGTCAAGATAGGTGGTGATCGGGTATATGTAACAAACATCCCAATCACCTTAGTTGATAAAGATTCATTACATACATACTACTACTAATTCTGAGAATACAAATAAATTCTATAATATATTGAAATTTCGATTTATTCATACATCATTTTATGATAATAGAAAGAGACTATAGACAATCAATTTCATTTCTCTCAATTGATGTATTCAGTTAGAAAGGTAAGTTAAGGTGAGTGAAGTGAAGCGAGGTGAAGTAGCATGCAATAATCACTGTCGTAACAAATAACTAACTGGATAAATAAATAAATAAATAAATAAACCAGTGAATTAACCAATCAACAATAAATCAACGATTTCGTTGAGTATTTTTGAAGTTTCAATGTGATGTGTTTTTATTCTTCAAACAACTTCAAGTTGGTTTTCATTTCATATTCATAAAAGGACTGTGTTATACTTGAGTTGATCTAGAATAGTTTCAATATTCAGTCATTGTAATGCATTCAACATTTACGGTTATTTTCTTGTTGTTGTCTAACAGTAAATCAACGAGCACTACATATAGAAGTTTAATTCATTATCCCTAAAGATTTCGTCATTTCAATTCATCATCAATCGGTGACGAAATTCGAAATTATTCAATGGTTAGATGGTGTCATTTCCACTGATGAGACTTGAAGATCATGGATACATTTGTTTCAATGTATCTTGATTTTTGATAATCATTAAACTAATTTCAACGCAAAAATTTCCGAAATTCTCATTGTGGAAATTAATACAAGATATCAAGACGAACAGAGTTGTTTTAAACTCGATCTTTATTAAACTTTACTCTGATATACGATACTTCGTAAAACATTTATGACATATTCATAAAACACAATGACATAAACAGTTATATATTGTAGTTGATATCATGAAGTTCCTGTAACAAAACAATCATTGAAAACCAGTAGGCACTAGACAACTGTTTCGTCTTAATATAAGACTTCTGAATAGTGTAAATCCACAAGCCTAACATAGATCAAGTTCAAAAACAAAACACCTAACAGCCTCTCTATAAGCTTTCGATCACTGAGTCAAGAACGGTCGTTTTGAAATGACGCTGGAATTTCTTCTTTACACGAATGAGACGAGCATCTATACCCGATACCGTGCCAGTGTCCATTCTACAGCACTTCAAAACAATTTTGCTCACGAACATGTGACTGATCACACTAGAACGTGCGAATGTTTCAACGACAATAACAAACAATAAGAAATAATAATGTGATAGAAAACATGTGACACATCTCATACTTGTCAGACCATCTACTAGTTTGACTAGGTAAACAATCAATCACTAATTTTATCAGCTACACATCAGGTTTACGTTTTTAACTTGAGTCAGCTCGCAGCAAGCCTCAGTAATGAGTAATTTCGAGAAGTAATGCCTAGAGTTCTAGTAACAGGTTATGATCAATGTAGTTCAGTTATATCGGGTCTGAGGCAACTACACATCAATATCACTAGATAATGATTTCGTAATGCTGTAAGTTGACTGACTGTCTTCACAAGCATCAACCATTAGGTCCCAACTGGTTAGTATAAGGATTGATGTCTCGCCATCAAGTCTGAAATTCTTTGAATGGTTCATCAGTGTAAAATACTGAACAGTTCAATGCTACAATGAATGAAATAGCCATTTAATGTTTCCTCATTTTCAATTATTATCTGTCTACAATCAGTCCATCATGTGTATAACATAAACATTTAAACAATCACTGTAATAAACAAAAAACAAACTAATGCTTACCAATATATTCTAACACTATGTCTTTTCCATGAATAATATATGGATCTAATAAATTTCAATTTGATGTAAACTGTAAACCGTATACATTACTGATTGGATCATAAATTTGCCCAACTAAATATGATTCATCTGGTGCATATAATTTATTATAATCTATTGAATTCAATGAAAAGGATCCAGAGGAGATCGAAGAAGGAGAAGATAATGATGAATTGATCATTTCTACTTCTGGTAATTTTGTTTTGTCTTTGTGGCGATTGTTTTCAATGTTGAATTATTGATTAAACAAAAACGAATTATTGGTATATTGTTAATTATACCGTCATAAACATTAGGTATACGATCATCCACTAATAAATAATCATGACTACATACAATTCCAGGATTTGATGAACATGCTGATCCAGTAGCTAATATTAAATTATTATTATTTGACAATACAGATCTAAACGATGACAATGATAAAATAGATGAGGATGATGACGAAGCGAAAGCTGATGAAATTTCATCTACAATAATGTAAAGGAACGAAAGTACAAACAGCATAAAATGTGATGAATTGTATGGTGTTATGAGGTTTATATCAATCCATTTCAATCACACTTGATTAATTCAACCATTAAAAAACGGATAAACGCGTGACGGATGCTACACATTTTGACAGATATAAGTAGTATGTAACACCAAAATGAAATAGTGTGCCTGTTAGCAAACGTTTCAGATTGAATTACGAAAAAACAGAAAAGGAAACGGTGAGGAATTTCAACGACATTCGAATATGAAGAATGAAGAAGTATGTGCACGACAACTGAAAGGAGACTTGGAAATAAAGGACTTAATTTTACGAAAGCATTGTGATGTTTTACGTTATATGATAAATTGGTTATCCCCACAAAAGTGTTCGTTCAGTGCATTCGAATATTGTGTAATAACGTTTTATTGTTAATAGCACTGATTAACACTGACAGTTATTATATTTTCATCAACTGAATTAAATAATTTAAACAGTTACTGTTGACAGCCTCTACTCATATTGTGATATCATACTATGACGTTTTTCTAGCTTATTAGTACCAACGTGAAGACAGTTCTACCTCGAGAAATAAAACAACCATCATCAAAAATGCACAAGTATTTATAAACAATTGTTTACGTAAAGTATTGAATGTCCGTATGCCGGATACCATCAGCAACAGCCAACTGTGCGAGAGAACAAACTAGCTTCTAAATGAAGAGGAAATTAGGAAATGACGCTGGATAAGACATGTATTGCAGAAATCATCAAACTGAATCGCGATGCATGTCCTAATTTGCAATGAAAGGGAGGATCAGAAGCAGACATCAAAAGAATCAATTGCAACTGGAAAGGATTTTTCAGAACAGAGTTCCAGGAAGAATTCTGGTAGGGCGGCCTAAGCTCCTCACGAGGGTTAACAAGCGCAAGTAATGATGCCAAGCTAGGTTAATTACATTAATTTTACATTGAAATTTATTCCAAACATAAAGAATGCCTTTGATGTAAAAAAGTAAGCCCATATCAACAAAAATATATTTGTATATATATTTTGAGAGCATGAGAGATGGAAAAGGCAGCGGATATAGGTAGTAGCAAACAATTGTTTAGACTTTTTAAGGAAACCGGTATTAGGAACTCAACTGTTGCGAAACTTTCTCAGAAAAAGACGGATACATTATACTTTCTCAATCCAGGAGATTGGATCGATGGGTAGAACACTTTAGGGATCAGTTCAACTGGCCTTCAATCACACTTCGGTTTCACACGACCTCCAGTCAACCTGAATGGCAAGTTAATTTAGGTCCTCCGCCTCTTTACGAAGTTGTAAAAGCCATAGGAAATCTGAAGCGAGGGAGAGCAGCAGGCCCAAACAGGTTTACTCCTGAGATTTTTAAGGATGGTTGTCCAGTATTAGCAAGAAAATTAACTGAGGTCTTAGGTAGAATTTGGGAACTGGACGTGATCCCATCTGACTGGTCTCAATCACTGATTGTGCCAGTCTATAAGGACGGACAAAAGTCCTCTTGTGACAATCACAGAGGAATCAGTTTGACTAATATAGTGTCTAAAATATTAGCTTCAATAATACTTCGACGCCTAATCAAAGCTCGTGAAGAGTAGATTAGAGAAAACCAGGCCGGTTTTCCACCTGGACGTGGTTGTATAGATCAGATATTCACACTACGTCAGGTCAGTCTTCAGTCTTCAGTAATAAGGATAGTAGGTTGATGAACCTGTGTTAATCCTGACACATTGCTTTCCAGTGAAGGTCCAGGTTTTCCTTGAAAGTATTCACTGATGGGGCTGATACCACTTGTTCGGGTAAGGCGTTCCAATCATTGACTACTCGATGAGAAAAACGGGATCCCACTTTAAGTTTATTAGATCGTGGTTTATGAACCTTCTTGCTATGACCTCGGAGATTATTAGTGCTGGAGGGAGCAAAAAGATAAGACATATTAACACCCAAATCATAATTAAAGATACGAAATGCCAGTATAAGGTCACCTCGTGTCCTACGATACGACAAGGGGAAAAGATTTAGGCGTTTTAAGCGCTCATCGTAAGGGAGACTAGAAAGACCCTTCACTAATTTCGTTCCCACACGCTGGACACGCTCAAGGGAGTTAGTATCCTTTACTAGACACGGGCTAGCTGCTTGGATACAGTACTCTAAATGTGGTCTAACATATATGGGGTATAAAATTCGAAACGTTTCCTCGTCAAAAGATTTGAACGCTCGGCGAAGTGACCATAACGCACGAAAACCTTTGACAGCGGCTGCTTTGCAATGCGCAGTTGTTTTTAAGTCATGACTTAATATTACTCCTAAGTCCTTATGCTCTTGAACGCATGGAAGAGGTTTACCCTCAATAGTGTAACGGTAACTATTACCGTGACCGACGTGCATTAGTACACTCTTCCTAGCATTAATTTCTAAGCCCCACTCTCGAGCCCATCTAACTAAATCGTCTAAATCAGCTTGAAGATCCACATGATCAGCCGCACTTTTTATTGTTCTCCAGATTTTTACATCATCTGCAAACAATAATGTCGACGACCTAAGTAACAGTGGTAACTCATTAACGTAGAGAAGGAAGAGCAGAGGGCCTAAGATGGTGCCTTGGGGTACACCACTTTTGACCGGCTTCCAATCGGATAGCGTTCCATTGACCCTAACTCTCTGTCTGCGGTCACATAAGAAATTTCCTATCCACTCATGTACAGTACCTATTATTCCGAAGCTCGTGAGCTTCTGCATAAGACCTACGTGTGAAACCTTGTCAAACGCTTTGCTAAAATCTATGAATATCACGTCGACAGACAGACCGTGATCTAGGGCTGCTGTCCAATCCTCCCTCGCAATAAGCAAGTTAGTCAAGCATGAACGCTTGTTACGAAATCCGTGTTGCTCAGGAGCTAACAGATTGTGTAAATCTATGTGGCTTAGCAACCTAACCCGAATTATCTTTTCGAGTAACTTAACGACTATGCTAGTTAGACTGACAGGCCGGTAGTTAGATACTATCTGTCGCTGACCGTCCTTAAATATAGGACTAACTATAGCGTCCTTCCAATCTCTAGGGAGTTGGGCGAGTGAGAGGGACATGTTGAAGAGTGTCGCAAGCGGTTTCGAAATAATGTCCGCAAGAGATGACAGCAACCGTGGATGTAACCCGTCAGGGCCCGGTATCTTACCAGGTTTGAGGTTAGTTATCAACGGAAGGACAGTTTCCTCAGTCACCTGTACGGATTCAATGGTTGGTATCTCGGTGTGAGTGGGACAAGTAGTTGTTACAATAAACGTAGAGAAGACTTCGCTAAAATAATCTGAAAAAGTCTCAGCTTTTGCTCGATCTGATTCAGCTAGTAATTCTGAATTTTCGTGTAACAGCAACGGGGGAATACCATCACTACGTTTCATTTGCCGTTTAACATACGAAAACAATCGTTTCGGACAAGTACGGCTATCATATACTAACTGCCGTTCGTAAGTGGTACGGGATTTCGCTATGGTTTTCTTACAGATATTACGGTATTTTTGATACTCACGCTTAAATGGTGCATGACCTGTCAACAAGAATAAGTCCCAGAAATGTTTCCTACGCTTTAACAGCTTCCGGGTTTCCTTATTAATCCATGGAGGGCAATGTGATAGCTTACGTGCTGACCATGGGATAAACGGCGACGTTACGGACTCGAATGTAGCCATAAACTTATTCCATTCATCTTCGATCAATCCATCCGCGTCGACCGACCAATCGGTCGAGATAGCACGGTTTCTGATTTCCGGAATATTAGCTCGCCAGATATTGGGACGGGGTGGAGCAGATACGAATTGTATACCATGTGTCCTAAACTTAAAGTGAATTACAACATGATCACTGTTCACTAGTGGAGGAAGGTGCTGGATATCAAAGACATCCTCAGAGTGGTGGGTGAGGGCGAGGTCCAGCAGTGACGGAACATGATGCAAATCAATATGTGTCGGTTTTGTGATACATTGTACAAGTGCACACTGAATAACGGTAGATAAAAGGTCGCTATCGAAACCGCTACCTGGAGCTGTAAGCTCTATCCAGTTGATATGCGGTGCGTTGAAGTCCCCAATGATGAGACAACATTCTGCCATACTCCAAGAACAGATGTGTCTTAGGATAAAGTCGTCAGCCAGACAAGACGGACTACGGTATATTCCCCCTATAGTCACTAACCCATTTCTAGATTTAATCTTACAACATGCAACCTCACATGTGCCACTGATATGAGCCTCCGATATGGTTGACTGTATACGAAAGTGATCCCTAACGTAAAATATTATACCTCCCCCCTTGCGACTTGAAGCTCTATCACTTCTGATACAGATATAACCAGCAATGAAAGGAGAACAGTCTATATCAACGGTGAACCAAGTTTCTGTAACAACGATTATATCGGGACATAATTCTTGCACCATCAGACTTAGCTCGGACGTTTTATTTCTAAGACTACGAGCGTTCGTGTAGCACACACTTAAGGTGTTTTGGAAATCAATCGTTCTACCCATACAGGCCTCGGAAGCATTGGCTTCCAAGACCTGACTACCCGAAAACTCTTAATGGTAAGGTTATTTTCGCCATTTAATTTGCGAGTCCTCAACTCCGTAAGAGCATTCTTCCACTTGATTCGATCCTCAAGCGGCCAATCTGGTCGAATACGGATATCTGAGGCACGAGTTTTTTGTGCGCTTTTCAATAATATGTCTCTTTCTTCGAAACTCCCGAGAACCAGCTTCAGGATCCTTCTTGGTTGGGTCTCGCCTCCAACCCATTTACCAAATCGTATTACTTTTGTAATATGTACCCCTGAAACCTCTTCAGGTAGTACATTCCTGACCAGACTCCACTAACTGTAGGTCATGTGCGTGTCTTTTAGCAGGGTCGTTGTCTTTCGACTCCTCTAGATTCCAAATAATTAAACTAGGGATGGGTTTAGCTTCTTTTGAAACTGTGTTCACAGCTTTCGACCGTGACGTTAGATCCTGTATTTT